GCCCCCCCCAGAACCCCCGACCAATCTAACTCCCCCGTTCCCTGTCCCTTGCCTGCCCCAACCGCTCTCTACACCCCCTTCTCCCGACAGCCCCCCCAGAACCCCCGACCAATCTAACCCCCCGTTTCCTGTCCCTTGCCTGCCGCCCCCTACCAGGCCGAGGGAGAGCTGCGGGCTCCACGTGCAGCCAAACAAATAAGGCGCTGCTCTGCGGGGGAGGAGGGACCGGGGGAGGGGGAGGGACTCTGGCTGCTAGAGGCCCCAGTGGCTGCGAGCGGCTTTCAATCAGGCACAGCCGTCCAGTCAGCCACACCGCACTCTACATGAGGGGAAAGGGGGAAATCCCGGACATTTCTACCTTATTAGAAATCCCCCCCGGACGGCCATTTAAAGCTAAAAACGCCGGACGTGTCCGGGGAAACCCGGACGGATGGTAACCCTAATTTATTAACATTGCTGTACAGCTATGATGCTATACATCGTGCTTTACTATGGAGAGGTAAAATGACTGTCCCTGGCGAATGTAACAAATCCAGTTGCTTTAGGCCACAATTGTAATTACTAGATAACTCATATATGTGTGCCCTCCCTGAGGAGTTGGGGCCTAGAACCCTGATCGCTCAGCTCTAGATCATGTGGCAAAGATCTGTGTTTTTAAAGGAGCTCTTCTGATGCTAATAATAGGTGGTCTCTTTGTGGGACAGCCACTAGAGGGTGACTTGATCATACAAGTGTATGTATGAAAGCTCACGAACCCACAGGCCAGTGCATTACACTAGATGCTTACAGTCCAGGTAATCTTCACCTTCCACTAAAATCACAGGGGAGAGGCTGGTATTAGACAACACCTCACAATGGCTGCCTTTGAATCAGTAGGATGGTAGCATCTTCTTCATTACACAGTTAATGCAAACATAACTTGAGCTTGTGCAAATTGCAGAGACGTCTCTAGCCAGAACAGCTGTACTAGGGAAACTGCACATTGGAATGTGTTTAGAATCTACACTGGGCTGATTTTTGAATGTACTGGTTAAACGTGGATTAAGAACATGCTGTGGTTTGAAAATGGGATTAAAATATTTTAAACAAAAATCTGCATCTGGGAACTTGCTTGCAGTGGGAAGCATCTTCATAGCAACACAGAGCAACCTGAATTTCTTTGCCCTGAAGAGGATGGGAAATGATCTTTCACGAGAAACTGCTAAACATTCTTTTCTTTCTCTTCCAGGAAAAAGTACGAGTCCCCTAATGCCCAAATAAGGTCTTTACTCTTCTGTCTTTCTGCAAAAACATTCTCTGCAGCCATGGATGAATATAGCCGCTTTGTGGATTGGGACAAGATGGATGCCACAATCCAGACACAGGACTCAAAGGAGCTAATCTGCACAGATTTCCAGGAGTTCAAACAGCTTGCCCGACAGGGCTGTTGGGCCAAGAATCACTCTTTGAGAGCCAAAGTATACCTGAAGCTAATTGGCAACATCCCATGCCGCACAGTGACACCAGATGCAAACGTGTACCGGGATATTGTTGTGAAGATCATTGGCAAGCGTAACACTGGCACCCTCCCATTGCCAGAGTTTGTGGATAACAATCTGGTGCCTAATTACTGTTTGAATGCTGAGGGCATTGGGGCAGTCAGAAAGATAATCTGCTGCATTGCAAATCAGTTCCCTGACATATCATTCTGCCCAGCGCTGCCTTCTGTGGTGGCTCTGCTCCTCCACTACAGCAGGGATGAGGCAGAGTGCTTCGAGATGGTTTGTCGCATCCTTGCCTGCAATGACCCATCCAAGCGGCTCATTGATCAGACATTCCTGGCATTCGAGTCCTCCTGTATGACCTTTGGTGACCTGGTTAACAAGTACTGCCAGGCAGCACACAAGCTGATGGTGGCAGTGTCTGAGGACGTGCTGGAGGTGTACTCTGACTGGCAGCGGTGGCTCTTTGGAGAGCTGCCCTTGGTGTATGTTGCTCGGGTCTTTGATGTGTTCCTAGTGGAGGGCTACAAGGTGCTCTATCGGATTGCACTAGCCCTTCTCAAAGTCTTCCACAAAGTGAGAGCCGGGCAGCCCATGGAGTCGGACAATGTGCAGCAAGACATTCGAGCTTTTGTTAGGGACATTGCCAAGTCAGTGTCTCCTGAGAAGCTGCTGGAGAAAGCCTTTGCCATACGGCTTTTTTCCCGGAAGGAGATCCAGCTTCTGCATATGGCCAATGAGAAGGCCCTACAGCAGAAAGGCATCACAGTCAAACAGAAGAGGTAAGGCCCCCAGATGCTCTATTTACTTAGCCCTGCCCAACAAAACCAACAGGCTCTTTCTCTCTAGTGAGGGGGACAGCCAACTCTGCAAGGTCGGTTAGGAGGCTGAATGCTCTGATAGCACATCATGTTATCTTTATCCCAGAGGAGTCATTCTTCTGGGGACATGACTACATTTGGGGCTGCAGCTATGTAAACCTGGCTTCCATCTTTGTACTAAATTGTCTGAATGTTGCTGAAATTATAACAGGACGTATAATCTATCTGTTATTCCATTATTGAAATGAAGCAATTTTGACAGTTTGTTATCACAGGAGCAAACTTCTAACTATTGACATAGGCTAGGTCTACACTGGGGGGGGGGGGGCGCGACCTAAGATACGCAACTTCAGCTACGCATCTTAGGTCGATTTACCTGGCCGTGAGGACAACTGCCGCTCCCCTGCCGACTCCGCTTCCGCCTCTCGCCATGGTGGAGTTCTGGAGTCGACAGCAGAGTCGGGGATCGATTTTATCATGTCTACACTAGATGCGATAAATCAATCCCCGATAGATCGATCACTACCCACCGATCCGGCGGGTAGTGTAGGCATACCCATAGTCAGATGTTCACTACAAATATTAAGACGTGCACATTTTTCTGGCTTCTTTTAAGTTAAAACAAAGTGAACCAAAAAAACCAGTCCTGAGAACAAAGCTATTTTGGGAGGGACAGCATCTAAACAAATGTGAACATTCAATTTTTTCTGTGATTTTTATATAAACAGTGGTTTCAGTGTGTGTTTTGAAATTGCAGCATTGAACACCAATGTAATGTAACAGAAGCAAACAGTATCTGAAAGTGGGAATGTTCTGCTTAATAGTGCAGTTGAGCCATATTTAGTTTCTTTTTTTCAGTAGAGTTGAGAGTATTTAAACCGTAATGGACCTTTATTTACAAGTGATATTTGAAAAGGAGCTTTACAGTCAAAAAGCCTATTATAAAAAATCCCAGGACACTTTGTAAGGTTCACAGGTAGAGTCTTAGTCTGTTCAGATGTGCACCTGTCTATCACTAATTACAAATGAGTGATTTGGAATAAACCAGTCACAGACAGAATGGCTATAGGCTGGGACAAAAGATGAACCTATAGAACATGCTTTCTCATCAGATATGGGAAAGAGTCAACCAGGAAACTTGCAAACTGATCAGATTATCTATCTAACCAGGCTAGACTATATGATACGCTGCTTCAGAATGGTGAAGAAATACAGAACAGTACCAACTTCCTTATCTGAGAAAGCGCCTCATGCATATACAACAGGTGCAATAAAGAATTCCTGGGAGTACAGCTTCATGCCTCACTTTTCTAGGCAGCTATCTCAATATTTGATATATTTATATTAAACTCAACAAGATAAGACTTGGGTAAGTGGTGTATGATATAAAAACATATTTAGATAAACTTTAAACAGATCCTGAAATTCTACAGTGACAGTAACATTTTTCTCCCAAGGCCAACTGTTTGGAGGAAATCTCTCCTAAATGCTGTTTTTTCCAAATCTAAAGGTTTGGAGAGTTCAGCAATAGCTTAACTAACCCTTCTGTGCTTCACAAGGAAAACTCTCCATAGAAACCTGTGAGCATAGTATCAGGAATGTGTAATCCGGAGAGATGCTCTTCCACACTCTTCTTCTAAATTGTGGGATCAGGAGGTACACATAACTAATGTATCTTCTCACAGCCACTTATGTAGAACAATGAGCTTGAGTCGGTACCCTTGAAGAACCTGTATTTGTGATTACTGAAACATATTCTTGGAAAATAGAAAGGAGGACAAACAAGAATTTGAAGAACAGCTCGCCAAAGACTCAAAGTAATAGCAAAAAAATTTTTAAGTACAACAGAAACAGGAAGCCTGCTAAACAACCAGTGGGGCCACTGGACGATCAAGATGCTAAAGGAGCACTCAAGGACGATAAGGCCATTGCGGAGAAACTAAATTAATTCTTTGCATCGGTCTTCATGGCAGAGGATGTGAGGGAGATTCCCAAATCTAAGCCATTCTTTTTAGGTGACAAATCTGAGGAACTGTCCCAGATTGAGGTGTCATTAGAGGAGGTTTTGGAACAAATTGATAAATTAAACAGTAATAAGTCACCAGGACCAGATGGTATTCACCCAAGAGTTCTGAAGGAACTCAAATGTGAAATTGCAGAACTACTAACTGTAGTCTGTAACCTATCATTTAAATCAGCTTCTGTACCAAATGACAGGAATCCTGCTATTCAGGTAATGTGATGCCAATTTTTAAAAAGGGCTCCAAAGGTGATCCTGGCAATTACAGGTCAGTAAACCTGACTTCAGTACTGGGCAAACTGGTTGAAACTATAGTAAAGAACAATATTGTCAGACGTATAGGTGAACATAATTTGTTGGGGAAGAGTCAACATGGTTTTTGTAAAGGGAAATCATGCCTCACCAATCTACTAGAATTCTTTGATGGGGTCAACAAGCATGCGGACAAGGGGGATCCAGTGGATATAATGTACTTAGATTTTCAGAAAGCCTTTGACAAGGTCCCTCACCAAAGGCTCTAAAGCAAAGTAAGCGGTCATGGGATAAGAGGGAATCTCATGGATTGGTAACTGGTTAAAAGATAGGAAACAAAGGGTAGGAATAAATGGTCAGTTTTCAGAATAGAGAGAGGTAAATAGTGGTGTCCCCCAGAGGTCTGTATTGGGACCAGTCCTATTCAACATTTTCATAAATGATCTGAAAAAGGGGGTAAGAAGTGAGGTGACAAAATTTGCAGATAATACAAAACTACTCAAGATAGTTACATCCCAAAAGCTACAAAAGGATCTCTCAAAACTGGGTGACTGGGCAACAAAATGGCAGATTAAATTTAATGTTGATAAATGCAAAGTAATGAACGTTGGAAAACATAATCCCAACTATATATATAAAATGATGGGGTCTAAATTAGTTGTTACCACTCAAGAAAGAGATCTTGAAGTCATTGTGGATAGTTCTCTGAAAACATCCACTCAATGTGCAGCATCAGTCAAAAAACCGAACAGAATGTTGGGAATCATTAAGAAAGGGATAGATAATAAGACAGAAAATATCATATTGACTCTCTATAAATCCATGGTACGCCCACATATTGAATACTGCATGCAGATGTGGTCACCCCATCTCAAAAAGATATATTGGAATTGGAAAGGGTTCAGAAAAGGGCAACAAAAATGATTGGAGGTATGGAACGGCTTCCATATGAGGAGAGATTAATAAGACTGGGACTCGTCTCTTTTCCAAACTGAAGACTCGGGGTGGGGCGGGGGGAGGGTATGATTGAGGTCTATAAAATCATGACTGGTGTAGAGAAAGTAAATAAGGAAGTGCTATGTATGCCTTCTCGTAACACAAGAATTAGGGGTCACCCAGTGAAATTAATAGGCAGCAGGTTTAAAACAAAAGGAAGTATTTTTTTCACACAATGCACAGCCAATCTGTGGAACTCTTTGCCAGAGGATGTTGTGAAGGCCAAGACTATAACAGAGTTCAAAAAATAACTAGATAAGTTCATGGAGGATAGGTCCATCAATGGCTATTAGCCAGGATGGGCAGGGATGGTGTCCCTAGCCTCTGTTTGCCAGAAGCTGGGAATGGGCGACAGGGGACGGATCACTTGATGATTACCTGTTCTTTTCATTCCCTCTGGGGCACTTGGCACTGGCCACTGTCAAAAGACAGGATTTACTGGGCTATATGGACCTTTGGTTTCACCCAGTATGGCCGTTCTTATGTCATATGTTGGCCTATGAAATAACACCAGCCTTGATGGTGCTCTTATATGCAGCTATTCATCTCTTCATAAGGCGGATGTTCCTCTCCAGCTGCTTGTTCCCAGAATCCTACATCCTGTTAACATCCTTTCTGTATTTCTCCTGCAGACCTTGATGTGTGTCCTTTTCATGTTGGTCAGACCTAAAGAATCAGAACCTTCCCTTGTCAGGCAATCTAGGCATACCTTTCAAGGCTTCTGTCTACTGGAGTGTTGGTTAGAAACTTTGAACAGGGAGGCTTTAGTAGTTACCAGGGCCTCCAGACCACTGTTTTTTGAGGAAGCCCTAAGTATGTGACAGTCAGGTATATCACTGGTTTCCTCCCAGTTGGGGAAGGACAAAAGAGTTAAGACAGCCGGTGTGTATGTTCTTCATTGAGAGAGGGTGTGTGTGTGTTAGGGAGTGAAGCTGCTACTCGGCTAAGAAATGACGTATCAGTAGCCAGCTAGAGCAACAAAGGTGCAGTCTTAGATTTCTTACAAGCAAGGTTCAGTACTGTCATCGCCAGGTGAGAGCAACACGCAGAGTCACTGGCTAATGAAAAGTTTTCACCCTTTCTGTGGCATTTGCTGGAACATACTATAATCTCTGATGATCTCCGGAAGAGAGACTGTGGAGTAGGTTTGATGCAGGACGTTAGGTAGGCAAAAGCAGGTGCAACAGAAGCTCTCTCTCTCAAGTCTTTGAGAGAACTCATATTCCCTTATCCAAACTTGCTTGATAGTGAGTGAGCCACACAGCAGTTATGAGTTGTTCCCCTAACATCCTGATAGATCTAACCACACAGCAGGAAGGAAACGGACTGAGGGTTGACGGGAGAACAGGAGAACTGATGCTAAATGAGGAATATTGTTAACCTGTCGTCCTCTTTTCTTTTTCGGGCGTTGTTTGATTCAAACCTTATTCTGTGTTTCTCCCTAGGCTCCTTCCATGCATTTTGCTGGGGTTGTAGGAAATCACTGACCTCTTTTCCTGTCTTTTTTTATGTCTTCTCCTTGTGCGTTCTCCTTCTGTCAATTCCATAGCCGCTGCACTCCTCCTGTTTGCAGTGTTTCATCTTCTAAAAGGTAGGTTAAAAAACTTTGAATGTTTGTGCTTTGCTCGTTTCTTCTGTCTTGGCTGCGTTTTTAAAGGCTGTGTGTCATCCCTCCTATGCTGGGGCGGTAGCAGCAGTGCTGATTGCAGCAACAAACAGCAAGGTAAATAGTTCCTGAAGATGCCCTTGCAAAACTAGTTCAAAGTAACCTATAAACGTGTTCAAATGAGAGTTCATGAGACCGTCCCACTGACCTAGCATTATTGTTCTGCACAGCCACACAGGAGGCCTAGATTTCATTCATAAATGTGGGTCGTCATCTTGGGATGGAAATTCTCATGTTGGTGATTGGACTCCTTATACCTTGTCTGCACTTGAAAAAATGTACCATGTTAGAAAACGTATTAACTGAACGTGTTTGTACAGCACCTAGCCATGACCAGGACTACTGCAATACAATAAAACTAAACTAATCTGTCATAACTTACATGATAAACCTGGTTTTCCTCTTAGTATGGTCATAGACATTCATGTTTAAAAACATGCTATGTGGTCATTGTTAACCCTAGCAGGGAAAACATTTTAAAACATGACTTGTCCATGCCTATACTAGGTGCTAAGTCACTTAGTGCACTTTCATCCATGTCCAAGTTCTGGAAGATTTTGAAAAAGTCATGGATTTAAAAACTTCCACAGGTCCTCGGAGATTTCAGACCCCATACAAGATCTTGAGAAAGAGAAAAGGTGATTCAGTGGCTACTTACACTTTATATATATTCCAAGGCAATTAATGAACATAATGATTCAAGGTATCTGCACTGGCTGTTGCTGATACATGAAATGCAAGCTAGCTTGATCTTGCTGAGCTTTGGTGGCCTTGAAGCACTTCAGTGTTAGTGATGAATCTGTATGAGAACCCACATTCCCACCAAAACAGTAAATAAGCTAACAAATTTGTAAATATTTGAATATGCTACACTTTCAGTATGGTAATTAAGAAGTAAGAGTCTTTCTTTCTGTAATTTAAACACATTAAATAGAAAATTGCAATGCAGATTCCAGTAAACAAACTAACATGAAGGATAAAAAGAACTCTAATGAAGGAGAGAAATCTTTAATTGGTAAATGGCTGCAGCTTTGCAGTGTGAGCGCCAACTAATGGCTATTGCAATTGCTTGGCTAATTCATCTTCAATAGGCTTTCTCAATAAACTACTGGTTCTTCCTATATGACAATGAGAAACTTCTTCTAGTGGTGCAGTACTCACTCAGAACGCATAATTCTTCTTCGAATGCTTGCTCATATCGATTCCAATTAGGTGTGTGCACGGCCTTCGGAGAATTTTTACCCTAGCAACACCCAGTGGTCGGCAGTGGAACCCACTGGAGTGGCCCCTTTATGGTGCTGGATATATACCCCGGCCGACCCAGCGCCCCCTCAGTTCCTTCTTACCGTCCGTGACGGTCGTTGGAACTGTGGAGCTCGGCTTTGCTGCTCTCCACTCTCCCTAGCATTTTTCCTCTCAACAGTGTTAATAGTTAGTACAGTTATAGAGTTTTTATATAGTTATAGTGTACATAGTTTTACTTAGCGGGTTGGCAGGGATCTTCCCTCCTCCCCACCAGTAGCTTGGGCTCATGCCCAAGGCTCCAGGCTTTAAACCCTGTGCGTCCTGCTCCAAGCCCATGCCAATGGGCGACCCTCATGACTCTTGCCTAAAGTGTCTGGAGGAATCTCATCAGACTGAGAAGAGCAGGAGCTGCAAAGGTTTTCGGCCCCGGACTAAAAAGGAGCGGGACTTTCGTTTGCGACGGCTCCTCGTGGAGGCGGCTCTTAGCCCTCAACCTCCAGCACCGCACCAAAACCTGGCACTGAGTGCTTCGGTGCGCAGCGCCCCGGCAGCAACAGTAGGAGCTGCACCACGGTCGAACTCTGATAGAGACCCGCGGCACCGGCGTTCCCCGGCACCGCAGCTGACATCATCGGTCCGACACCGGTCCCACTTGCCTGGTCAGAAGTGGCACCGTAGACCGGAAGAGGCTGGCCCATCTCAGCAGACGCCAGCCTCCCTGGACCCGCCCTTGGCGCCGCGTCCCTTAGAGGAGCAGCCAGGGGCACAAGTGCCGACTTCAGCACCGTTGACTCTGTCACAGAGAGCGGAGCCGTTGAGTCCCTTGCGTCTGGACTCCCCGACGCATAGCGTGGTTGAAGTCCAGTTGCCATCGACTCCAGACACATTTGCGGCTGCAAGGGACCTGATTGCTATGACCGCATCGGCATCCCCTCAGCAGACAAAGGCACCGGTCCCTGCTCGTGTGGTCCCATCCCAGGGCAAGCCGGCCCTTATCCACTCAGCACTGTCGGTTGAGCCACAGCACCGTTCCCGCTCCCAGCACTGTTCCCGCTCCTGACGCCACTTGCAGTCCCTGCACCACTCTCCTTCATGGCACCGATCAGACTCACGGCACCGTTCTCGGCACTGCTCTGTACGCCGGTCACCGTCCAGGAGCAGATCTCGGTCCAGACACCATTCCCGACAACGATCACCATCAAGGACTAGGTCTAGATCCCGGCACCGATCTAGGTCACGGCACCGCTCCCCCTCGCGGCATCGCTCTCCATCTTCGCAGACCCGCTCAGCACCACCGTGGCCATCGCGCTCCGCCTCTCGTTCGACAGTCGGATGTGGGGTCGCGTCTATCCGACTGCCACCACTTGGATCACAGCACTCTGAACTCAGGGGCTGCTCATTGGCAGGCGCAGGGACAAGGTCCAATCCAAGGGTCTACCCAATGGCCCTTTTGGACTCCCTGGGCGTACCACCAGGCCCAGGATGCTCCGTCAGGGGCTTCTTGTTCAGCCCCCTCCGAGCCGCGGGTGCCAGAGGTCACCATCAGCCGTCCAGCGCCATCCATCCAGGCTCCAGACCCTCTTCCAACCCCGCTTCCGGGTCTGACACTGAGATCGTGGGCTCAGGACTCCAAGACACAGCTGACCAAGAGGGCCCAGATGATCCTCTTCCTCTTGTGGCCGCCTCCTCATCCTCACCTGATAAGGCGGTGGCAGACCCTGCTATTTCGGGTCCCCCCCCAATAGACCTCCGTGCCCACCAGGATCTCTTATGTAGGGTGGCGCGGAATATGAACCTCCAAGCAGAGGAGGTTATAGAGGTGGAGGACCCTGTGGTTGACATTTTGTCCGCAGAGGCCCTATCTAGGGTGGCCCTACCGCTCATCCAGACCATTCAGACCACAGTCAGAACAATCTGGTAAACGCCTGCGTCTATTCCTCCAACTGCTAAAGGGGTGGAGCGGAAGTACTTTGTCCCCTCCAAGGGATATGACTATCTATACACACATCAACAGCCCTGTTCACTGGTGGTGGCCTCAGTGAATGGGAAGGAGCGCCATGGTCAGCAAGCCCCAGCACCCATATCGAAAGAGGCCAAACGCCTCGATTTATTTGGGTGCAAAGTCTACTCCTTGGGCGGTCTTCAGCTCCGGATCGCAAACCAGCAGGCACTCGTGAGCTGATACAACTATAACTCTTGGAACTCCATGTTAAAGTTCAAGGACCTAGTTCCTTCGGAGTCCAGAGAGGAGTTTGGGCCTTGGTGGAAGAGGGCAAGACGGTGGTGAGGACTTCATTGGACACCGCAGACTCTGCCGCTCAGACCCTCTCTTCGGGCATTGCGATGAGATGTATATCTTGGCTGCTGACTTCCGGCTTACCACCGGAGCTTCAGCAAACATTACGGGATTTCCCTTTGATGGAGAGGGCCTGTTTTCAGACAAAACTGACTCGAGGCTTCAGAGCCTCAAGGACTCAAGGGCCATAATGCGATAGCTGGGGTTGCATACACCGGCTGCATAGCGGAAGCCATTTAAGCATCAGCCCCAATGCTCCTATCCCCCTCCTTGGTCGAGGCAGGACTTCTATAGGAGGCGGGGGCGTAATACCAGGAGGAAACCCTCCAACCACCAACCTGGCCAAAGCCAGGGCCAAGGCCTTTCCAAGCCCTCAGCGGGCCCTAAGCAGAACTTTTGAAGGGCTGCTCGAGGACAATGTACCAGACCTCGGTCAAGATCCTACCCCACCCTTCCTGAATCATTTATCCCATCTCCACCGTGCTTGGTCCCTTATAACCACGGACCATTGGGTTGTTTGCACGGTGGAAAGGGGATACTCTCTCCAGTTTTCTTTCTCCCCACCCTCCCACTCCGTCCCTCTTCAGGGACCCTTCTCACGAGCAACTCCTCATTCAGGAGGTTCAAACGTTCCTGTCCATGGGGGCGATCAAGGAAGTTCCAAGGGAGCTAAGAGGCAAGGGGTTTTACTCCCATTACTTCCTAATACCCAAGGCAAAGGGCGGGCTTCGGCCTATCCTGGACCTGTGCGGACTCAACAAATTCATGGTAAAGTTGAAGTTCCGCATGGTGTCCTTGGGTACCATTATACCTTCCCTGGATCCTGGAGACTGGTACGCTGCCCTCGACATGAAGGATGCATGTTTCCACATAGCAATCCATCCGGCACACAGACGCTTCCTCCGCTTTATGGTCAACCGCAAACACTACCAGTTCACGGTCCTTCCGTTCGGCCTTTCCACGGCCCCCTGGGTGTTCACCAAATGTTTGGCAGTCGTGGCAGCCTCCCTTCTTCGGAGACGGATACAGGTATACCCGTATCTCAACGACTGGCTTATCAGAGGTTGCACCAAAGAACAGGTGCACTCCCACGTTCAAGTGGTCACGGACACGTTTTCTTGATTAGGTCTTCTCATCAATGCGGCGAAGTCCACTCTAGAACCAACCCAGAGAATAGAATTCATCGGGGCGGTCCTAGATTCCCTGCATGCCCGAGCCCTCCTGCCGGATGCTCGTTTCCACGCTCTGACGGGCCTTATCTGGAGCCTTCAAAGCTTCCCAATCTCGATGGCAAGAACATGCCTGAGTCTCCTGGGTCATATGGCTTCCTGCACATACGTGACCAGACATGCCAGACTTCAGCTCCAATCGCTTCAGGCCTGGC